AATTACATGCAAGAAATGTGTAAAATTTGTCAATTGTACAAATTTGCAAAGATTTGTAAATTGTGCAAATTTGTAAAGATTTGTAAATTGTGCAAATTCATAAAGATTTGTAAATTTGTCAGTCATGTCTTTGGTGTGAAAGAATTTCTTGTTAGTTGAGATATGCTTCCAGAAATGGTTAACCAGTGAATAAATAAACATAGTAGCCACCTCTATTTGTTTCAGGCCTATATTCAAATATATCTGGCTTCAAAAGACTTTCAAGATGGCCCACAGTAGAAACTGATAAAAATGAGGGCACTAAAACCGAATTTCAATGTAGTAAATTACATGCAAGAAATGTGTAAAATTTGTCAATTGTACAAATTTGCAAAGATTTGTAAATTGTGCAAATTTGTAAAGATTTGTAAATTGTGCAAATTCATAAAGATTTGTAAATTTGTCAGTCATGTCTTTGGTGTGAAAGAATTTCTTGTTAGTTGAGATATGCTTCCAGAAATGGTTAACCAGTGAATAAATAACATAGTAGCCACCTCTATTTGTGTCAGGCCTATATTCAAATATATCTGGCTTCAAAAGACTTTGAAGATGGCCCACAGTAGAAACTGATAAAAATGAGGGCACAGAACCCGAATTTCAATGTAGTAAATTACATGTAAGAAATGTGTAAAGTTTTATAAAATTTACAAATTTGTAAAGATTTGTACATTGTACAAATTTGTAAAGATTCCTACATTGTACAAATTTGTAAAAATTTGTAAATTGTGCAAATTTGCAAAGATTTGTAAATTGTGCACATTTGCAGAGATTTGTAAATTGTGCAAATTTGCAAAGATTTGTAAATTGTGAAAATTTGCAGATTTGTAAATTGTGCAAATTTGTAAACATTTGTAAATTGTGCAAATTTGTCAAGATTTGTAAATTGTACAAATTTGTAAAGATTTGTAAATTTGTAAATCATCTTGTCCTTGATGTAAAAGAAGGTCTTGTAAGTTGAGATATGCTTCCAGAAATGGTTAACCAGTGAATAAATAAACATAGTAGCCACCTCGATTTGTGTCAGGCCTATATTCAAATATATCTGGCTTCAAAAGACTTTCAAGATGGCCCACAGTAGAAACTGATAAAAATGAGGGCACTAAAACCGAATTTCAATGTAGGAAATTACATAGATGGTATGTGTAAAGATGTGTAAATTGTGCAAATTTGCAAAGATTTGTAAATTGTGAAAATTTGCAGATTTGTAAATTGTGCAAATTTGTAAAGATTTGTAAATTGCAAATTTGTACAGATTTGTAAAATTTACCAATTTGTAAAGATTTGTAAATTGTGCAAATTTGCAAAGATTTGTAAATTGTGAAAATTTGCAGATTTGTAAATTGTGCAAATTTGTAAACATTTGTAAATTGT